TATTTAAAGTTATAATTGTTATTTTCAAAAAAAAAAAAAAACCTGAACTTTCAAATATAACTTCTTCTGGTTTAACTTACAGTTATGAAACTTAAACAACAAATAGATAATATGATAAGGGTAAAAAAAAATATTAACTTTGAGTACATAAACAACGTAAAACTTGTTATTAACACAAAAAAAAAAATAATAATATTACAATCAAAGTGATACACAATAAAAAAAATTTATTTAATAAAATGTATTTTGACATCAGTAATCATTTTCTCTTAGTAGAAAAATCGTCAAAACATATTTAATTTTTCAATAATAACGTGTTCAAAAAAATTTAAATTAATATAGGTTAGGATTTGTCAGATGTCTGGGAACATTTTTAAAAACTAAAAATAAAGTAATTTTTTTTATAAACATTACTATGTTTTAACTTTGACGACCAATTTTTGATAATTATTTTTTATGTCTGCCCATTTAATTTCTCAGTTCTTACTAGATTGATTTTGTTGACCAATGCGTCAAAATAACCCAATTTTATCCTAGTTAAAAATCAGCATCAATAATTGAAAAAAGGTTATTAATTTTTAAAACATAGAAAAATATCTTATATTGTGCTACTGTCAAAACGGCTTCTTTAATATTTTTTTTCTGAATTTTTAAATTACTAAAAATATTGTTTTTTTTAACTGATCCTTATGAAATTAATATTGGCAACACATAATTATCGTAAGAGATAATTACCTTACTTATGGTATGCATTTTATGGAAAAGCTTCGAATTTGTGCAAGTTGATTCTATTTCTATTTAGAAGAATAATATATGACAGATAAGACAAAAATATTAATAATCTAATTATTAAAAAATTGATTTATTAGATTATTACTGAATTCATATTGATCTAAATTTATTATTCATAATTATATGCTATGTTGCAAAAAAGAAGAGAGAAAATATAATTAAAAAAAAATCAAAATCAATGGCGTAATTACGGAGGGATAAAGTAAATAAATATCCCAGAGCATAAACATTTATCTTTATATAATATAAACTCAATTGTACTATGAGATTATTGTACTTATCTCATAAATGTCACTTTCCCATTGTTTTTTATTTTTAAATTAGAAAATAGAAATATATTTTACCATCCTGATTTACACTTTCAATTATTCCATTTTGAAAGTATGTGAAATATAATCTTCTAGAGGCTGTATCAAAATGTAAAATAATCTCTTGTTCAAGTAAACCAACTTCAACAGAATGTACAAGTGTTTTAACATTACCATCCATATTGATTCGATCTATATGGAGATGACTCCCATCTTTCATAGCCACAAACATATATCTAAAAGAATCAATTGTTAAATTGTTACTGCACATAAATTAGTTGTAATTAATACTTAAAGTTCTTATAATTTACCCTTGATCCGGTACTAAAGCAACGGCAATAGGAATATGTCCATCTAATTCTTTTAGAAGAACTGTTCGAGATTTTGTGGTCATACTTAAAACATTTAATGTACCTCTGGTCCAGTCACACCAATATAAATTATTTCCATGGTTATCAAATTTTAATGAGTGTATAACACCTAATTCTGATGTTACTAAATCTGATAATTTCATTTTGAGTAAATCATATGTCGATATTTTTTTTGATTTTGAATCAAATATAATGATATTTCCTTTAAAAAACAAAAAGAAGGTAAAATTTAAATATTTAAAGCATTTTAAACAAATAATTAGTCTTAGAAATAAATTATCTAAATAAATATACCTGTTAGTGAATTATAAACCAGGGCAGAAATTCTTGGTATTTTATTTTTTAATGGTATTTCTATAATTTTTTGACGCCCTAAGTGTTCATGTTCTACTTCTAAAAGACCATTTGTTGTACCAACAATTAATGTAGGAGGTGAAGCAATATCAACACATAAAAATCCTCCTGGAGTTAGTATTTTATCATCAGGACATGCGCAAATATACCCTTTAGTACTTCCATTTTTCTTTGGAGCCAGCAAACAAATATCACTACATTTTGCTTCGA